GAAGGCAGGAGTGTCACTTCCATTGCTTTCAAAGCTGGTGCTAAGGGTAGAAGAAACAAAGCCCTTGCTTCCTTCAAAGGCTGCAAAGCCTCCGCTTTCGTACCATGCTGTTGCAGAGCATGTGAACCCCTCCTGATGTCCAACCCAAGCACTGGAATTTCTTTAGCAATTAACTCGCAGGGAGGAGCAGTGTTGGAGATGCTTTACCCTGACAATAGAGAACTGTACAGCAAAATATTTCCCATGTGGTACAAAGTAGCTTGAAAATAGCCACTGCTCTGCTTTAATGTGGATAGCTCTCAGCTGCAGGTATTTAGACCTTGGGAAGTATGTGTATTTAGGGGGAAGCAGGGGAAAAAATTGCATGTTAGAGCTTACACTCTACCAGGCAAAGGGCAGACTTTTAAATGGGGAAACAAACTTACAATAAAATTTCCACTGATGGAATTTTTTTTTTTTTTTTGGTAGCAATCAGGTAGCTAAAGAGCAACTCAAAGTGATGGGAGCAATTAGGAAAGAACTCTGCTGTCTGAGGCAGTACCAACCTCACATGCATCTGTTTGGGCAGCAAAATGTGCCTTAAAGCTGCTATGAGGAAATATCTACGATCCAGGTAGAAGCCACTCACTACTTATTGTAACCTTAAAAGTGAAGACCTGGTCGATCCCAGACACCGAGACAGTTTTTAATTTTAATCATTTAGGATATGTGATGTGGATGGCTGGGTTTTTTTGATGCAAATCCTTCTGTGCTTGTCTCCAAGACTTTGGTTCCTTTCATGCTTCCTGGCTGCAAATAAGCTGTCTAGGGGATAAATATTCAACAAACACAGCTCATTCAGTTTTCTGCTCAGGGTCTACACCAGCTTCCAGTTTGGTCTGGGATAAAATGGAAGGGCAACAGTGTGCAACAACCACACATAGGCTGGTTGCAAGTAAACCCAGCTGGTCCTGAGATATTCTTTTTTAGATTCAAAGTCCCTTCAGGTGGACAGAGATAATCTGTCCCATATTCCAGCACAACAAGAGCAAAGGGGTCTTGCCTACAACCTTGTAACTTCCTTTTGAGTAAGGGCTGATTTTTCAAAAACCATCTCCCTCTTCCTTGCTTCATCTGAACTTGAAGACTGCAAAAGAGAAAAATTACCATAGCCCACGGTAGGGTCATACAGAGATCTGTTAGTGCATTTAAAAATTGACTTTTCAACTTGCAGTCATCAGATCTTGTTGCATGTCTGTCTGATAATATCTTAATTCCCTGACACTGAAAAGTTAGCTTTGGATAATAATGTCTACATCCCTGATTAGCTCATAAAGCCACAAATGAGTGAGATCCCTGTACTCTGCCATGGTGAACTGGCCTAGGCAAGAGCAGGTGGATGTGTGGTCCTGTATGCTTTGAACGTGAATGCTGCTGGACAATGTGATTTTAATCAGGAATATCTGAATGTGCTTCCAATGGGAGAACTGTTATAGTTGAGCTACATATATAAGAAAGTACATGTCACATGGAATTGATTTCTTGTAATAAACTGGAAGAAAACATGGAAAAATCCCACTTTGTTGCCCAAGGAAGGACAATTCTGTATTATTGTACTCTGAGACTCAAGTTACTTTAGCATTAGCAGTGTGCTTTGGTTTGTAGCAAAATAACTGCAGCAAACACTGCTGCCACAGTGGTTCCTGGGAATGCATTAAACATGGTCAAGTTTCAGATGTGGTTGGCGTTTCAGGCAGTATTCTGGTTCTCCTGATTGCCTGCCTCTGACATACCATCCTGGCAACGTTGATCGTTAGCAAGTTGATGACAGGCCAACTGATGATGGCAGTGGGGACATCCTATTCTCAACGGCATGTGGATTAGTCTCCAGATCTTTGCTGCAGCCGTTCTGACTCAAATGGTGACATGCGATGGCTAGCAGCAGTGTTGCACAGTGCTTTGCATCACACATGTGCTTCCACCATGTGTCCTCCATTGAAAGGGAGAAGAAAGGTCCCAGGGAAGGACTCCTTGGCCGCTGGGTGAGGGGAAAGCATTATTCACCCCCAAACCTGTCCCCACATCTGCAGGATAAGAGAAAAGCCCAGAGGCATTTGTCAAGGCTGCCTTAGATAGGGATTGCGTCATTCTCACATCAGTAATGCCTTTCAGAAATGGACCTTGTAAAGGAGGAGAGCTGAACAGCTCAAACATGCAGGAGTCCCTGATTATGCTTCCAGCTCCGCCAGTGACTACTTTGGGACAGTGGGCAAAGGGCAGTCGTCTTTATCTTTCAAGTGTACAGTTATCCAAAGTTTAAATGTGTCAGGATACTTAGAGAGGAGGAATATATGTGCTGGTACAAACCTGCAGGTCTTTGCTGAAGACCCCTTTAAAATCATGTTTTACCACTGAAGCTGGAGAAATTCTCAACACTAAACACATGTGACGGTTGAATTTTCAAGCCCTCTTCCTAAAGAGACAGAAGATCTGTTTCTTCCTCCCATTCTTCTGTTGGTGCTTCCTTCAAATCTGACAATGTAGTAGCTCATCTGAGAGGAACTATGTATTTAGTGTTATAGGGCAATCAGTTCTGGCCAGTGCAGAGGAGATTAGCGTTTACATCAAAACCAAAACCCAAACCAATCCCTAAAAAGGGCCAGGACTATTCCTAGGAATTCCCAAAGGAGGTCTGTCCTATGCAGACATTTAGTTCAAGTCTCAGCAGCACCTTCCTGATCTTGGAATTGAAGGAGGAGAGAGGAAGTGCAAGAAGATAAGGAAAAGCATCATACCTTGGAAAGGACTAAGGACAATAGAACATGCTGCCAGGAGAGGCTGGGAAACTGCCAGGGCTGGAGAGAGAATTGGTAGCTTGACTTTGTGGTTGCTTATTTAAAAGGGAAATCAAAGATACAGCAATGCAAGCAGGTGGACTAGACCCAGTAAACATCCCTTCTGCTCTGTGATGCTAGGTGTGAAAGGGTTAGAGGGTGTTCCAGGATCCTTATGACCTCGTTCATGTCAACAAGGAGTTTGCTATAGGTGAAGGAATGTATTTGGATTCATGCGTCATGGAAGGGTTTGGGATAGGTCTACAATGCTCTTCAATGCAAAACAAAAGCCAGACTTACGCTAACGTTAGTTTTATCACTTCCACCAGAAGAAATACTCCATCGTTTTATAACCTAAGCATACATAAAAGAGAAAAATTTCTTTTGTAGTTACTTTAATCCCTGGTATCTGCAGTTTGCCTTCTCAGGGCAAGCTGAAGATGCGGCATTATTTCCAGTGGGAGACCCAGCAGCAAATGGCAGAAAAAGGGGTGAAGAAAGCTATTTATTTTTCTTTGTACTCCTTTGGATGTTTTTAAACTAATACCCACTACTGACTTGCCAATAGTGATCTTTGCAAGCTCACCCTCTCAGGTTACATCCAAGGAAAAATCACAACTTGAAAAAGATTGAGTCAATATGCAAAGGCCACCTCCACAGCTTCTTCCCAGCAGTTCAAAGCTCTTTGATGCTGACACTGGCAACTTTAATTCTAGATAGATGCATCGCTGAAATGCTCAAAACATCTCAATCTATAAAACCCTCCTGCAAACATATCACAGATTAGCTTTTACATGGTATTTAGGCATTTCTGATTTTACAGCTGTGTCATACCTAAATAATAGAAAAAAAGCAGAGAGATGAAACTCAGTAAAATGCATTGGGATTCTGGGCTGACACAGGCTTCTTTGATCTGAACCTGCCTGCTAGATTCACTATCCCTCTCATTCTGTAACACTGGACAGCCCATAATGACACCTTGCCACACACAATAAAAGTAGGATTTGCTGGGACCACATCTCCAGAGCTCAGCACAGCAATGCTGTGAGATCTGAAAGCAGACCAAACGCTCTGCAGTGCTCTGCTTCCACAAAGAACCAAGCTAAACTTCTTGTTCAATCACCCGCCCAAGCTCTGGTCTTGCCTCTAAGGGAGTCCCATCAAAATAAACCCAGCTAGTGCCTCCTTGGCCACGCCACAGGTGACCGTGCATCCTGGATCTGACTTTGTTTGCAAATGATCAAGAATATTATAAATAGTTCACCTTGCCACTCTCCTGAGTGCAGGCACAACCCAAATTTCATTTCTTACTGCCAACCTGACCTTGCTGCTTGTTCTTCCCTTCCACTGGAGTAGATACACTTCCTTGCAACCTTTTGGCTCTCACTCAGCAGGCTTAGTGGGCTAAGACATGGGGTAGGTGCTATCAGCCTGCCCTCCCTTACTTGCATTATACACATCACTTCCTACACAGGCTCCTGATATCTATTTTGAGTACCAAAACTCTGCCTCAATGAAAGGCTGCAAGGTATTTCCCTCAGCTTGCCTCCCTCAAAGTCTCTTCTTGCCCTGAAAGTCTGCTCCTGTTGAGGAAAGCCATGTATATGGTGATCAGCTGCCACAAATACCCTCGTGCTACATTTAATCAGCATGCAGTCCCCAAGGAGTGCTGCCACCATCAGAGCTTAAATCCCATTGCTGTGGCTTTCCTAAATAACTGTGCCCAACACTGCTGCCTTGGCCC